CTCTCTGCCTGTTATGCTCCCTCTCTCTCTCTCTCTCTCTCTGCCATGCACACTCTCTCTCTCTGCCATGCACATTCCCTCTCTCTCTGTCTCTCTCTGCCATGCACATTCCCTCTCTCTCTGTCTCTCTCTCTGCCATGCACACTCACGCATGAATGCAGGCACTCACTATCATGAATAGAAACCAAGTAAGACTTGCAAAAAACCTTCAGCGACCACGGCGGGTACCTTCTCGTTGTGAGGCCCAGATAGGGCTGCAGCTTGCTCCAGGTCACACAGCATGCCAGAGGCAGGCCGGGATGGGGACTGAGGGCCCCTGGCCCCCAGCCAGGCCTTCAGCCTGTGTGCCCCCTCTGCTTGGTGCACCTTGTCCAGCAGCCACATGACAGCCTCACCTCTCCCCTGGTCTCCACACCCTCCCAGCTTCTGACCAGCACATGGGAGGGCGCTGCCCCGGCCCACAGACTCCGGGGTGGGCTGTCCCTGTGGAGGTAGAGGAGGCCGGGCAGCATGGCGAGTTTCTGAAAGGGAAGGGCGCGGGGCCTGGGTGCAGCCAGGGCAGGGCTGCCGTCTCCAGGTGCCCACACGTTGGGGCCCTCAGTCCCTGGGAGCTTCTGACATGCAGGGCTCACCTGCAGGGAGCTCGTTCCAGCCCTCCTGCCCTGAGCTCCTGGCTGGGCCAGAGAGGGGCCCTCGGCTCTGATCACCTTCCGGGCCCTCTCGGCTCCTCTGCACCCATGGCCCTGGCTTCCCCGAGCTCCTCTAGGCCCTGAGCGAGGCCCTGCCCCTGTTTCATTAGCGTGGAGCTGCTCCTGCATCCAAGCCTCGGCCAACCTACCAGTCCGAGCTCCCTTCAGCAGCCGTTGTGATGCCAATAGCTTCCGACAGGAAATCTGTCTGCTTTAGGTGTGGGTTTCCGTGGTCCCCGCCTGCATGGCGCTGCTCACTCAGAGGGCCGTGGGACTGTTGTTCCTGTCCCAGCCGACGTCCACAGAGGGGAGAGGGCCTTGCATGTGCAAGCGTGCGTGTATAGATTCCAGACCGACTATTCTAATCCTGTTTTGACTGATTTAATCTGCTTTCAGTATAGGTTGATCCAAGAGATTTGAACCGGTTCACACTAGCTTCAGCAATCTTTAACTTGGGGGTCGCTCTGTTACCGTGAGCACATCCGCGTGTATGTGACCTTCCAGGGTCCCCGTGTCTGCACCAGTCTGGGCGCATTCAGTAACAGCAGGCCTGTCCCTGTGGCGTGCTGGGATCGTCGGTCCCCAGGCTTCTGACGTGACTTCTCTCAACCACCCTCCAGGTGGGGTGGCAGCAGTTCCAAGGGTGTCCGCTGGTGACCGCGTCAACCTTCCTCCTGCAGGGAGAGCTCTGGCGAGCAACAGTGATGCTGAGGAGACAGACTAAGAGATGGGGAGCCCTGGCCCCAGGCGGCCCCGTGCTCCTAGCCTGGGGTTTGAAAGTGTCCAGCAATGGAGATCCAGATGCCAACAGAGGGATGAGGGCGCCACTCAGCGCATCCTCACTCTACACATGGAGAGACTGAGGCGTGGAGAGCTTAGGAAACTCGCCCCAGTTACATGGTTACTGAGCAGTGGCACCAGGGCCTGAACTGGACGTCGGAGAGACTGTCCCATCGTTCCCCCCATCTGCCTCTGAGTCGGACTCTTTTTTCTTTTCTTTTTCTTTTTGAGAGGTTTTCACTACAGGGCGCGTGCGCTCGCCAGACAGACAGAGAGAGACAGAGAGACAGAAAGCGAGAAATCACCCTCCGGGGGGATGGTCACGCCGCAATCCCTTCTCCTCCATTCTCCTCTCGGGGTCTGGGGCACGCACGCACATGCGCCTGGCGTGAGTTTTAAGCCACCAGGTCCGGGATGTGAACCGCGGTAGACTACGTGGGAGTCCAGCAACATAGCCATTACGCTAACTGCTGGTTCCCTGAGTCAGACTCTTAACCTCGAGGCTGTGCGTTTCCCCTGCGGAGTGAGGGAGACACTTCGAGATGCATTGGTGTCGTCCTCGCCATGTGCTTGCTGTTGCCTGTCGGCGGTTTTGTGCCTCGATCCACATGGAGCTTCAGAGCTGGGCCTGGGAACCCTTGGGACCTCAAGTGGAAGCCCCTGCACTGTTCCCTAGGCTGCAGAGACAACCGTGGCAAACGTGGCTACTTAACTCAACAGAAAGGCGCTTTCCCAGGTTCTGAAGGCCAGAGTCCAAAACAGGCGCTGCTGGGCGTGCCCACCACGCCCGCCCTGCACCCCGGAGCTCAGGGAGAAGCCACGTTGCCTCTCCCAGCTTCTGGAGGCTGCAGGAATCCCTTGACCCCTGGCCACAGAAATCCAGTCTCTGCCTCCACGGCATGCCGGCTCCTCCGGTCTGTCTGTGTCCTTGGGGTGTCTGTGAGACAGTTAGCAGTAGACTTGGGGCCCACCTCAAGAGCCCAGCTCACACCCGTTAGGACTCCTTCTAGGTAAGGTAATGCCCACAGGCAGGTCCCGGGGTTGGGACATGGACACTCCATTCTCGGGACCTCCACTTGACAGTGACCGCTCAGGCCACACCACAGGGCCCCCAGGACCCGGCCTCAGAGCGCCTCTCCCCGTCAGGCTGGCACCCACCCAGCCTTTGGAGCTTTATTCTTTCTGCTTGGGGATAAACGAGGGTGTGCAAACGGAGGTGTGCAAACGGGGTGTGTGTATATGGACAGTGTGTGGGTGGGAGTGTGTAAACAGGGAGCGTGTAAATGGGTGTGTGAACAGGGTGTGTGCAAACGGGGGTGTGTAAACGGGATTGTGTAGATGGGGTGTGTATATGGGGAGTGTGTAAACGGGGATTGTGTAAATGGGTATGCAAACGGGGTGTGTATACAGGGAGTGTGTAAACGGGGAGTGTATAAATGGGGTGTATATGGGGGTGTGTATACGGGGAGTATATAAATGGGGGTGTGTAAATGGGGAGCGTGTATATGGGGAGTGTGTAAATGAGGTGTGTAAATGGGGAGTGTGTATATGGGGAATGTGTAAACAGAGAGTGTGTAAACGGGGGTGTGTAAATGGGGGTGTATAAAGGGGGTGTGTAAATGGGGGTGTGTAAATGGGGAGTGTGTTAACAGAGAGTGTGCAAAGCGTGCTGGCTTTGATGTGAGAGCCTCTTGCACTTCTCAAAACGTACCCCTGGCCGGAAAGCTCAGACTTTCTGGAAACACCGGGCGAGACGTGAAAGCACCCGGCTGACTCGGGCCTTGGTGATCACGGGGCTGCAGAGGCAGCGTCCAGGGCCCTGGGCTTGGGCAGCAGGTCCTGCGCTGTCCCTGACAAGCCGGGGAGTCTGGGAG